GGTGGAGGAGAAGGAAGGTGGTGCAGTGGCAGGCACGGAGGAGATGGAGAACTGTCCAGCTGCAGACACGGTGGAGGAGAAGGAAGGTGGTGCAGCGGCAGGCACGGAGGAGATGGAGAACTGCCCATCCCCAGACATGGTGGAGGAGAAGGAAGGTGGTGCAGTGGCAGGCACGGAGGAGATGATGGAAGGTGGTGCAGTGGCAGGCACGGAGGAGATGGAGAACTGTCCAGCTGCAGACACAGTGGAGGCAATGGACGCAGTGGAAGCTGGACCAGTGACTGATGTCTCAGGATTGTGTGGACGGTCGGTGACGCAGGAGGGTGCAAAATCAGCAACGCTGAAAATTTCCCTGTTGAAGGGCCAAATGCCTGTGCACCGGAAGCCAGCCTGGATATTTGATGGTGTGGCAGCCATTGGGAAAGAATCCCTTACAATTGCTGGTATGTCGTAAATGGACATGGTTGTTCCAGGATGATGCCTCATCCAGCTGTCAGAGAAGGTGTAAACCATCTTCTTGAAAGGGCCAAACACACTGCGGTCCAGTGGCTGCAACTTGTGGGAACAGTGCAGGGGGTTGGAGAGGAGAATAATGCCAGATTCCCGACAAAAGTATACCTCGCAAAAACATGTGGTAGTGATGATTGTCGAGGATCAGCAAGACCTTCTGTGTTGGAGAGGCTCTTGTATGGGTTTGGAAGTGGCGCAAGAACTCAAGAAAATCTTCATCCTGCATCCATCCTGATTTGTTTGCTGTTCCTATACAGCCAGGGGGTCCATCCCTGATGAAATGAGGGTGGAAGTTTACCCTGGGGAACACAAAGTGTGTAGGGATTGCATTCCCCAATGCATTTACTGCACATACCACAGTGACAAGTGTTCCACGCTCTCCAGATGTTACTGTCCCCACTTGCTTTTGGCCTCTTCTGGCAAGAATCTTCTCCGGTTTCTGGACAGTGGTGACCCCTGTCTCATCCATATTCCAGATATCCTTGGCAGTGAAATTATGTTATTGAAATACCTCTGCCAGATTGTTGAAAAACTTGGACACATTGGTTTTATTTAAGCTTGTTGCCCTAGCTAAGCTTGTGGCTTGTGGCTGTCTCAGGGAAAGGCTTTGGTGCCTTTTCAGGAAACCATCTAACAGTCAGCCCCAACCACTCCACGCTCATCCCATGACTTGGGGTGCTTGCAGTTGTGAGCCTTTGCCAGTTCATAGGCATATTTGCGAACCTGTATTAAAGCATTTGTGTGAATTAAAAATTGTAAACATATTGTAGCGTCTGGACCAATCAAACACACAATTTTTCATTTGATTTAACAAATCAGTTATTCATTAGATTAACAAATCGTCACGGCTACAGTATGTCAACATAAGCTAAAAAAACTGTTCATTCTACACAAATAATCATGAAACATAACAAATTCAGCAATGTATTATATTACCTCTTTGGGACTTAAACCATAATATAAGTCAGCAGCCCTGAGGAGGTACTCCGACAATATGGTCTCCTGCTCTGCCGTGAACACTTTACTGGCTGGCCGGTATCCTGTCCTAGATGTGCCCTCACTCTCTCCCTGCGTTCCATTCGAAAGGGCTCATCCCTACGCCCTAATCCCTTCAAAGGGTTTACCCTCCGGAGTGAGAGCTTCGAAGGGTTGAAGGGTGTAGGGGACCAAACAACTGTTTCTTGAAGTGCCCTTCTGCGTCATCATCACGTGCCCACACGGAGGCACCGTCATCATGCAAAGAATCTGCGCAAAGGATCATGGGAGCCCGAAGTGTCCATCAGTTGTACCCTTCGAAATCCTTCATTCCGAAGGGCCCTTTGAAGTGGCCAGTTTTGAGCACTTCGATTTGGAACGACCCTTCAATATTGCGGCCATGATTGTTTTCACTCCGAAGTGCCCTTTGGAGGGCGATATATCCCATTTGGAATGCACCTGCTACCCTCGCCTTCCTTATGAAGCGATATAAAGTCACATGACAAATGCCATGTGACTTTGCTGCTGCCCTCACTGACTTTCCCTGTGTAACTTCACTGTCTGCACTCTCAAACAGTGATTGTGGCTGGAGTCCCCTATCCGTCTCCCTGGGTCTGAATCTAGGCATAGTTTACTATAAAGAAAAGACTTCTGCCAAGTTCTCTGTTCTAACTTCATAAAATTGCTTCTTACAAGTTAACTAATCACAAGCTAATAAATCCACTATACAAACTGACAATGAAAGGAGCTTTTCTTTTTTCAGATATATATAGGCTAATAATCACACTTTCTGTCTAACACATATAAAACACACATTATTTTAGTGCTGTCGATTAAAAACAACTAGATTGTGATTAAAAACACGTTTTAAGTTTTCAATATATTTTATAATGTAATAATTTCACAGTTCATTTCCAAATTGATGTAGAAACAACATAAAGACTATATTTTAAATACTGTACTTGTTTAATGGTAGGCTACTCTAGAACATCACAATAGGCTACTCCGGGTAAATTCAAAAACAGATGAAAACGTTAATGTTCAATTTGTACGACAATTGAAATTTAATTAAAGTAAGTGGGGATAAGATGTCCAGATGTTGCCTCGAGTACGATGATAATCGAATATTTATTTTATCTCCTTAATTTATTGGTAGAGATTATTGAAGCATATTTTTTATTTGTATTTCAAATAAATTAATATATAAAAACTATTATATAAAGTACATTTTGTGAAGAAATATCTCTAATTACAAATAAATGATTTTAATACCAAAAGAAAATATTTTAATGCGGATTAATGGGGCATTCGGTGTTTGATCGTCTCGCGCCCCCTGGAGGAAGTAAACTTTCTCCTAGGAAACGGCTCTTGTATTCTCTTGTAGCATTTGCCATTGCGCTTGCCGTAGACTTGTGGGAGTTTATGTAAAATCATGATGGCGGCGGCCTGTGCGAGAAAGCTTAGTAAGGTCGGCCGGTTAGTTTTAGACACGCCGACATGCCGGGTAACAAACACCGCAGCATTAATGCCGAGAATCTCCATGAGATGCCAAGGAAGAGCTTACGGTACCGGCGGAGCAGGATTTAGATCCAGACTTTCGCTCGCTGCGCCGGTGCGTGGCAGTGGGAGAGTCCTGGGATGCGCTTTCCTGCTCGGTGGTGGTTTCGGCTTGTACCAGACCGTCAAACTCACGCTACAGCGTCACCTTGCAGAGGAAAAATCTAATGTAAGTATCCAGTTTTGGCAGTATTTTTGGATGAAAGTGTTGAAATGTGCCCTTATTTTTTGGGTTTGTTTGCTCACTATGGTTTTATTAACTTGTTTTTATTAGGCTCCTGAGCTGGGGACAGATCTGAAGTTGACTCTGTATCAGTATAAAACCTGTCCGTTTTGCAGCAAAGTGCGAGCCTTCCTGGATTATCATGGTCTGCCATATGAAATTGTGGAGGTCAATCCCGTTATGCGACAGGAGATCAAGTGGTCCACTTATAGAAAAGTTCCCATCCTGATGGTGAACGAGACGGTGGTATGTAGCTATTCATCTGTCTTTCTGATTATGATCGATATCCTCTTCCTGATATATGATGCCTCAGCTCATCAAGTTCCTCTCTTTGTTTATATCTCAACAGCAACTCAACGATTCTTCTGTAATAGTTAGTGTTTTGAAGACATACGTGGTCAACAAGTGAGTATCAAATCTATGGATGTTCATGTTAGAATTTATTTGTTTTAAGCGCTTTTAATGACTTTATTTGTAGCATAAACATATTGGTATATTTGGTACATTGGTATATTTGTGTATTATATTCATTTAGAAAAGTTTTTGTTTGTTTGTTTGTTTATTTTTTATGGGTATGGTTATTCTTCTGACAATAAAAAGTTTTCTTTACAGTATTAATTGGAAATTGACAGTTTAATGTTTTCCTAAAGTTGGAGGGGGATTGATTGAGAGTGAACTTTTGAGCACTGTATTCAGTTTTGTAATAGTTGCTTTGCTTTAGGCAAATAAATGTAAATATAAATGCAAATTTTGATTGTCTGTTCACTGCTTCTTTTAGGGAAAAAATTATATCTGAGATTCTCGCTTGTTATCCTGAGATGAAGGCAAAAAATGACAGTGGAAAAGATGTGATAGAGTTTGGCAATAAATACTGGGTCATGGTGCGAGACACAGATGCTGATCATCTATATCCTGGAAAAGACACCAGAAAGTAAAGCAAATCATTTATGTCTGAAAGTGATTGCTTGATTAACTTTTTAAAATTGAATTTACATTATTGTATTAATTATTGTTTGAGCTTTTTAATAACACTTTTTGGCCAGAGAGGAGATTAAATGGCGGAAATGGGCAGATGAGTGGCTGGTGCACCTAATTTCCCCAAATGTTTACCGTACACCGACTGAAGCCCTTGCATCCTTTGACTACATAGTACGAGAAGGCAAATTTGGCACATTTGAAGGATTCTTTGCGAAGTATTTTGGAGCTGCTGCCATGTGGATAATTTCAAAGAGATTGAAAAATAAGTAGGTTTTTGAGGGCAGTGCATTTTAAATAATACATAATAAAGATATTTGTCAAAAATGTTTTGATAATAAAGGTTAACCTCATACTACACAGACACCATCTGCAAGATGATGTGAGACAGGATCTCTACAAGGCTGTCAATGATTGGGTGGCAGCCATTGGAAAAAACAAGAAATTCATGGGAGGTGATCAACCCAACCTTGCAGATCTGGTATGTGTTTCTCTCTCAGTCTGAAATCTTATTCAAAATATATAAATATAAATATATATATATAAATCTGAATGAGACGCAGATGCACTCGCTGACAGCAGGTGGCGCTTATGAACAGCAATGATACAGTGTTTCCTGGATTACCGCTGTAAACAAAGCAGCACTGTGCTTTTGAACACTACTTTAACATGCATTGTTCAGAGGCAAGATGAAAAGAAAATACCACGTAAACTTTTCTAAAGATAGTAAGTTCCCCTCAGAGATACATTCATATAAACTCCTACTCCAATTGTTTCTCGAGTTGTTTGGCATCTCAACCGATTTGAATTGTCACATATTTGAATCGATTTTCGACCGGCTCGCGGTTAATCATTACATCCCTAGTAAGCAATACTATACAATATTACTAATACCAGCAATCCAAGTGAAATATTACTTGGGGGAAGTCGTGGCCTAATGGTTCAAGAGTCGGACTCGTAACCCAAAGGTTGCGGGTTCAAGTCTCGTACCGGCAGGGATTGGAGGTGGGGGGGGTGGATGTACAGTGCTCTCTCCTATCT